ATTTCCTGCCTGGTGGTGCCAAGAGTGTTGGCTGTGGAGCCGAGCAAACTGAAGCTGTGAACAATCTCAATCTCTTCACCATCCATCCTGATGCTTCCAATTGGCCCAGTGGTGAGAATCTTTGTCTTCTTGACATTGAGCCTCAGTTCATATTGAAGGCTGCAGTCCTTGACCCTCTACAGCAGGTGCTTCAGGTCCTCCTCAGTTTCAGCAAGCAGGGTTGTGTCATCTGCATAACGCAGATTGTTAATAAATCTTCCACCAGTCTTGACGCCACACTTCTCATAGAGCCCAGCCTCTCTGATAAAACATGAGAAAAATATCAAACAACTCTAAAAGATTTGATGAAGAGCAAATATTCTTTTTGATTTGAGAAACAAGCATAAAAGTAATAATAGGAGAGTTATTCTAACGTGATGAAGGGTCTGTCTAACAATCTCACACCCGTCCTGGTGGGGTTGGGGGCAGAGGGAGGCTGAGTGCAGGCAGGGCTGTGGGAAGGCACGAGGCCTCCTAGTCGTTGGCTGCTGCTCAAAGGACCTGGACTGAGAGACACAAAGGACATTACACGGCGGGGGCACGGGGGGCCTGAAGTTGTGCGGGAACAGCCTGGTTCCCACAGCGCAGACATTCATGTTGATCTGCCTTCTTTCCTTAGGGACAAACCAGACCCTGAACCACAGTGAGACCGCAGACCTGACCCAGCGCAGCCCCAGGATGGACGCTTGGCACACAGCCTATCATGTGGTTCACATCCTGACCTTTCTCACCTGCGTGTGCGGGATGGTGGGCAATGGTGTGGTCATCTGGCTACTGGGCTTTCGCGTGCAAAGGAACCCCTTCTCGGTCTACGTCCTCAACCTGGCGGTGGCTGACTTCCTCTTCCTCCTCGGCCTGTTCTCTAAGGAATATGCCCGACATTTTCACTTCAACTGGGTAATAATTGCTGCCTTCAGCAGTGTGATGGCATGTACATACATTACCAGCCTGAGCTTCTTAACAACCATCAGCGTCCAGCGCTGTCTGTCCATCCTCTTCCCCATCTGGTACAAGGTCCGCAGACCCCGACACCTGTCCACCGTGGTGTGTACCCTGCTCTGGGGGCTGAATCTCCTGGTTATCTCAATGATAATTTACTTTGTTTTTGTTACGACACATGGTCACAGTCAGCAATATGGAACGATACTAATCTTCCTTAGAATTCTTTTTCTGGGGGTCTTCACACCTGTTATGATCCTCTCCAGCGTGGTCCTCTCTGTGCAGACCCTGAGAAGACCCCGTGCGTGGCGCCGGCGATCCTCAGGCTGTTTGTGATCGTCCTGGTCTCAGTCCTGGTGTTTGTGGTCTGTTCTCTGCCCTTTGGCATCTTCTGGACGCTCATGGACAGGATCCTAGAAGAGTTTTATTGGTATTATTTTCTGTTGTATAACTTGACCCAATTAACTTCAGCCCTGGGCAGCAGTGCCAACCCCGTGATCTACTTCCTGGTGGGAAGTGAAAGTGGAAATAGCCTGTGGGACCCTCTGACGGCCATACTGAGCAGGGCATTGCAGGAGGACCCTGAGTTGGGGAGGAAAGAGATGTCCCCTGCAAGTACCAATGACATAGGAACTGAGAGCCAGGAACCCATGGGTTCTGCACAATTGAGCCCGTCCCTGGATTAGCATGTGCAGAGCCACCTCCTCCCCTAACCCTGCCACAGTGTCCGTGTGGACTCTGTTGGGTGGCCCAAGCATTTCCACCTGCCCTGATGAGGCCATTTCCCTGCTCTTCCCATCAAAGCCCACCTCCCACAGAGCAGACAGCCTGGACCCTTCATACGGCTTACCTAGAAAGATGAACTACACTTGACTTCATTAGTGCACATCTTCTGGGCACCAGGACTAGTCGCTGTCACGTCAGCTGTGACTCTGAGCGTCAGAGGAGAGCTGGCTCACAGGGTTTTCAGGGGCTGGTTGGTCATGGCTTGTTCCCAGGCAGACTTCCCAGGTGTTTATGAGTGAATGTGAAACTCCACCCTTTTGAAGAGTACCCCACAGACACCCCATGTTGTGCTCAGCTGAGATCAGATACTCAGAAAAGGGGAGGGAAGCACATATGTCATTTATTACATGTAACTCCATGAACTCTGATCACGTGACCTGGAAGTGTGCACTTTGGATTGTAGCAGGGACTCCTGGGCATTATGTCCTAGTGTCCTCTAGGACTACTGTCCTAGGTTCTCCCTTTGGTGTTCAGGACTGGGCTGGGGAGAGGTGAGCTCTGAGGCCCCCAGTTTCCTGGATGCCCTAGTTTTCCATTCAGAGCTTAGTCACCAAACTATGTGTCTGGAGGGGACATAGCTGAGGGAGTCTTATCAGTTATTTCATTCCTCTGATGAACAACCAGGACTTGCATGTTCCTTATAATCTCTTAATAATTATTCAGTTGTTTAATAAGTATCCTTTATATGTGTGTCATATCTTGTGTCCTGGATTCAGAGAGGTCACATCTTTTGTCCAGGGTACACAGCTGGGGAATGGAAGGGCTAGAGTTCAGCCCCTTTAATCTGATGACCAGGTATATGCACTGGAGACAGTGGACACTCTTCTATGCAGGGCAGTGAGTGGGGCACATTTCCATAGATGACACTCACTTCTGTGTATACTTTAGTTCTTCCTGGTAAAGTCAGTATTACCAGCAACGCTTCCAGAAATGCTCCCAGAATTCCCTAGGTCATCTCATCTGATCCATGGAAAAAGTGCAGAACTGTCACAGCATGTAAACATGTCTTAAGTCCTGGGGCCTTTGTCATCAGAAGTGCACAGACAGTGGGCAGTAGAGAAGGAACAAGACTGGAAATGCTAGAGACAGAAGCTAGTGTGTAAATAATTCTTCTGGACTTTAGATATGTGAATTACAGACGTCTCAGCATCACCCACCCAAGACGGCACAGAAGTCCTCACTTCCTAGGAACACGCAAGAGCGTGCCACACGTAGGGTAAACAGTGCACCTGACTTTCTTGTTTTAGATAGAAATGAGCAAAACACAGCCTATCAGCTTTCCTGTTCCATAGACACAGTTCTGGAGTTGACTAGAAACTGTAGAAATAACTTCGTGTTGTGAACTATGTAGACATGGTCATATCATGTTACCTATTATTCTATCTACAGTAAACCTTAGAAAATTGAATCTTCTTAAGATGTCATCTAGCTATACATATAAATCACAGAAAAATATTATAAAGGCTTGCTAAGCTATAAGTAATAAAATTATATTACTTTTGTTAGTGCCGTGGAGTCAAACCTGCCAGCTGGTCCAGTGATGTGGATTTTTATTTTCTTGATGTGAGATAGAACTCATCACGATAAAGATTGAAGTTGTCCACATTTTCATTTTCCTTAAATTAACACCCACATGAACAGCAGTCAAGAAATCAAAAGATGGCACTTGGGTTGTTTCCCTCATGGGTGACCAGGAGGACATTATGCTGAATGAAACATCTCAGTCACAAAAGGACAAATACTGCATGGCACCACTGTTATAAAGCAGGATTGACATGGGTGTGGGTTTGGTGGAGAATAGGATAAGAGTGGATAAATAATGAACATGACAATGGAACAGATGAAGGAAAGAACTGCTTAAAAGGAATATAAAATTAGACAGGAGATTGCCCATCTCTCCTCTTGAAGAAGCTGCTGGATTCAAACCAGTGATCCCTGGGTTGACAGTGCATTTGGTGACATTAGTTGTAGTTGTTGTTTTGCTAAAATATGTAAAATATGTAATTTCTTTTAGTTTTTTAACTCTAAGTGATTTTCATTGTTATAATTACTTTACATTTGTAGTTCTATTCCCCCCCCCCTTTAAGATGACTCCTAATACAGTACAAATTCTGGCCTTGCTACTCACGAACCGCCCTGGGTGGCCAGCACTCTGGGCACCGTACAGTACCTGAGATTTCCTAGGTAACGACCATAATGTTTCTTTTTCCTTTCCTTTTTTTGTTTTTTGCTTTTGACTGAAAAGAAAATACTTTGAACTTAAAAGTGATGTGCAGTGTAAGCCAACTCACTTTTTGTGGTGGAAATTATATATATATCTCCATTTTTCAACTGAAAATATTTCTTTTATTGTCATACCAATCAGCCCTCAATTGATTGCTGAAAAATACACGTGAAAATATTACTGAGCTGTAAAGATATGATTAAGCTGTTAGTTTTTTTCACTTTACCAAAGTAATTTTATTTCACTTTTACCATATATTGAATGTTTTTGTTCTTTTCTCCCTTGATTTTCGCTTCTATTAGCCCTCCAAATTGATTCTTCCTATGTGTAAACTGTTTCTTGAGGGGTTTTTTGTTTCCTATTACGAGCCATATCATAATTGCCCTTTTGTGATTGACATGTCAGCAGAATTTTTTCTCACCATTTTTTGTTGCACCTTATTAATTCTTGTTAGCTTTTTAGTAATTTATAATACTATTATGTGAATGTTCCATAATTTCTTCAGTGACTCCTCTCTTGATTGGCTCTTGTATTGTATCCAGCTCTTTGCTATTATACATAGTGCTGTAATAAACATGGTTCTGGGTCCGTTGCTGAGTTGTCCCTTTTGTTTCTTAAAAACCATCTCACTATAGTGTAACTCAGTAGTTCCATGTGATTATAGCAACAGGAGTCAAACCAGAGAAGCAGGGAGTGCCTTAGGGAGAGAAGATGGCCAATGTTAGAAATAATATAGGAGTTAGAATCTAATAACACCTCAGAGGAATAAACTTCAGAGTGTTCCCAGCACTCGAACGTAAGAAACCTAAGCTGTTTCTAATGATCCCCAGTTCTCGCGCATGGTCAAATGACCACATAGATGTTAATAGAAGACAGGTAAACATCCTTCTGATATTTTCCACTTTTCAGACAAGATTCATCTGACATCCATAGTAATTTCACTTTTTCTACATTCTCTTGTGAATTAGTTTGGGCTTCTGACAGCCCTTTCTACCTACAACTATACTTAATTTTTAATATATTCAGCAAAATAACTCAAACATTTACTAGATGATAAACCCCTTGATCCACACAGTCAAACGTCTTTGCACAGTCAATGAAACACAGATAGACATTCCTCTGGTATTCCCTGCTTTCAGCCAAGATCCATCTAACATCAGCTACAATATCCCTAGTACCACGACCCCTTCTAAACCCAGCCTGGACTTCTGGCAATTCTCTGCTGATGTGCTGTTCCAGTTGTTTTCGGATAATCTTCAGTAGAATCTTGCTTGCATGTGAAATCAGTGAGATTGTTCTATAGTTTCCACAATCAGTTGGGTCACCCTTCTTTGGAACGGGAACAAATATAGATCTCTTCCAGTCAGTTGGCCAAGTGGTTGTTCTCCAGATTTCTTGGCACAAATTGGTGAGTACACCCAGGGCAGCATCTGTCAGCTGAAATATGTCAATTGGTATACCATCTATTCCGGGGGCTCAATGTCAAGAAGACAAAGTTTCTCACCACTGGGCCAATTGGCAGCATCAGGATGGAAGGTGAAAAGATTGAGATTGTTCACAGCTTTAGTTTGCTTGGCTCCACAGTCAACATTTTTGGCACCAGTAAAATAAAATTAATGTAAAATATGTAATTTCTTTCGGTTTTTTACCTCTAAGTGATATTCATTGTTATAATTACTTTATATTTGTAGTTCTATTTTTCCCTTTTAAGATGACTCCTAATACAGTACAAATTCTGGCCTCGCTACTCACAAACTGCCCTGGGGTGGCCAGCACTCTGGGCACCAAGTACTGGAGATTTCCCAGGTAACGACCATCATGTTTCTTTTTCCTAAAATTAAAAGACGTATTGCCATGGGAAAGTCTGCTGTTAGGGACCTCTCCAAAGTACTAAAGAGCAATGGTGTCTCTCTGGAGACTAAGGTGCATCTGATACAGGCCATGATCTTTGCAATCACTTATTATGCATCAGAGAGTTGGACAATGACCTAGGAGGATAGAAGGAGAATTGATGCCTTTGAGCTGTGGTGCTGGAGAAGAGTATTGAGGTACCATGGACTGCTAGGAAAACAAACAGATTCATCCTGGAGAGGGTCAAACCAGGCGACTCCTTGGAGGCAGGGATTCTGGGGCTTTGTCTGACATACTTTGGACATGTTATAAGGAGAGACCGGTCCTTGGAGAAGGACATCATGCTTGGGAGGCTGGAGGGACAGTGCAGGAGGGGAAGGCCCTCTATGAGGTGGATTGATTCAGTGACTGGGGTAATCAGAATGGGAGTGTCAGAGACAGTGCGACAGGCACAGAACAGAGCAGAGTTTAGAGCTGTTGTACATAGGGTCGCTGTGAGTCGCAAGCGACTCGACGGCACGTAACAACAACAATAACAAACCCCTTGAAGAGAAAAAAGTGGTTATCAAGTAATTTTAGAGAAAAATCAGAGAATGTGTTCACTTCTAAACACTTCTTGTTCCTTAGATTTTGTTAAAGAACTAAATGATAATATAGGAAATATTTTATTAGGGGAAAAAATAGATATCATTCACTGAAAAAAATAACAGATCTCAACCGCTTCTGTCCAAGCTCTAGTAGCATAATGGTAAGAACCAGCACTGCAATCTTGAAGGCACATGGTTCAAATCCACCAGTTGCTACAATAAATAGTAAAGAAAAGTC